AACATGATGACCCAAAACCTATGGGATGCAGCAAAAGCAGTCCTAAGAGGGAAGTTTACAGCAATACAATCCTACCTCAAGAAACAAGAAAAATCTCAAATAAACAACCTAACCTTACACCTAAAGCAGTTAGAGAAAGAAGAACAAAAAACCCCAAAGTTAGCAGAAGGAAAGAAATCATAAAAATCAGATAAGAAATAAATGAAAAAGAAATGAAGGAAACAATAGAAAAGATCAATAAAACTAAAAGCTAGTTCTTTGAGAAGATAAACAAAATTGATAAACCATTAGCCAGACTTAACAAGAAAAAAAGGGAGAAGACAAATCAATAGACTTAGAAATGAAAAAGGAGAAGTAACAACTGACCCTGCAGAAATACAAAGGATCATGAGAGATTACTACAAGCAATTATATGCCAATAAAATGGACAACCTGGAAGAAATGGTAAAACTCTTAGAAAATTCTACCGTCTGAGACTGAACCAGGAAGAAATAGAAAATATAAACAGACCAATCACAAGCACTGAAATTGAGACTGTGATTAAAAATCTTCCAACAAAAGCCCAGTCAGATGGCTTCACAGGTGAATCCTATCAAACATTTAGAGAAGAGCTAGCACCTATCCTTCTCAAACTCTTCCAAAATATAGCAGAGGGAGAAATACTCCCAAACTCATTCTACGAGGCCACCATCCCTCTGATAGCAAAACCAGACAAAGATGTCACAAAAAAAGAAAACTACAGGCCAATAACACTGATGAACATAGATGCAAAAATCCTCAACAAAATACTAGCAAACAGATTCCAACAGCACATTAAAAGGATCATACACCATGATCAAGTGTGGTTTATCCCAGGAATGCAAGGGTTCTTCAATATATACAAATCAATCAATGTGATACACAATATTAACAAACTGAAGGAGAAAAACCACATGGTCATTTCAATAGATACAGAAAAAGCTTTTGACAAAATTCAACACCCATTTATGATAAAAACCCTCCAGGAAGTAGGCATAGAGGGAACTTATCTCAACATAATAAAGACCATATATGACAAACCCACAGCCAACATTGTTCTCAGTAGTGAAAAACTGAAACCATTTCCAGTAAGATCAGGAACAAGACAAGGTTGCCCACTCTCGCCACTTTTATTCAACATAGTTTTGGAAGTTTTAGCCACAGCAATCAGAGAAAAAAAAAAAAAGAAATAAAAGGAATCCAAATTGGAAAAGAAAAAATATAACTGTCACTGTTTGCAGATGACATGATACTATACATACAGAATCCTAAAGAAGCTATCAGAAAATAACTAGAGCTAATCAATGAATTTGGTAAAGTAGCAGGATACAAAATTAATGCACAGAAATCTCTTGCATTCCTATACACTAATGATGAAAACTCTGAAATAGAAATTAAGGAAACACTCTCATTTACCATCGCAACAAAAAGAATAAAATACCTAGGAATAAACCTACCTAGGGAGACAAAAGACCTGTATGAAGAAAACTGTAAGACACTGATGAAAGAAATTAAAGATGATACCAACAGATGGAGAGATATACCATGTTCTTGGATAGGAAGAATCAACATTGTGAAAATGACTATACTACCCAAAGAAATCTACAGATTCAGTGCAATCCCTATCAAATTACCATTGGCATTTTTTACAGAACTAGAACAAAAAATCTTAAAATTTGTATGGAGACACAACAGACCCCAAATAGCCAAAGCAGCCTTGAGGGGAAAAAAGTGGAGCTGGAGGAATCAGACTCCATGACTTTAGACTATACTACAAAGCTACAGTAATCAACACAATAGGGTACTGGCACAAAAACAGAAATATAGATCAATGGAACAAGATAGAAAGCCCAGAGATAAACCCATGCACCTATGGTCAGCTAATCTATGACAAAGGAGGCAAGGATATACAATGGAGAAAAGACAGTCTCTTCAATAAGTGGTGCTGGGAAAATGGATAGCTACATGTAAAAGAATGAATTCAGAACACGCCCTAACACCATACACAAAAATAAACTCAAAATGGATTAAAGACCTAAATGTAAGACCAGACACTATAAAACTCTTAGAGGAAAACATAGGAAGAAAACTCTTTGACATAAATCACAGCAAGATCTTTTTTGATCCACCTCCTAGAGTAATGGAAATAAAGACAAAAATAAACAAATGGGACCTAATGAAACGTCAAAGCTTTTGCACAGCAAAGGAAACCATAAATAAGACGAAAAGACAACCCTCAGAATGGGAGTAGTTATTTGCAAATGAATCAACAGACAAAGGATTAATGTCCAAAATATATAAATAACTAATGCAGCTCAATATTAAAAAACAGTCAACCAAATCCAAAAATGGGCAGAAGACCTAAATAGACATGTCTCCAAAGAAGACATACACATGGCCAAGAAGCACATGGAAAGCTGCTCAACATCACTAATCATTAGAGAAATGCAAATCAAAACTACAATGTGGTATCACCTCACACCGGTCAGAATGGCTATCATCAAAAAATCTACAAAAAATAAATGCTGGAGAGGGCATGGAGAAAAGGGAACCCTCTTACACTGTTGGTGGGAATGTAAATTGATACACAGATGTCGAGAATGGACCTGAGGATGCAGGGAGTGGGAAGGGTAAGCTGGGACGAAGTGAGAGAGTGGCATGGACATATATACACTACCAAATGTAAAATAGATAGCTAGTGGGAAGCAGCAGCATAGCACAGGGATATCAGCTTGGTGTTTTGTGTCCACCTAGAAGGTGGGATAGGAAGGGTGAGAGGGAGATGCAAGAGAGAGGAGATTTGGGGATATATGTATATGTATAGCTGCTTCACTTTGTTATACAGCAGAAGCTAACACAACATTGTAAAGCAATTATACTTCAATAAAGATGTTAAAAAAAATAATTACAGAAAATGATGTCAGGCACCAGGCTGCTTGTGTTTGAATCTTGGTACCACTCCTGTGTGCCCTTGGGCAAGTTACTTAACTTCTCTGGGCCTCAGTTCCCTTATATGTAAAATAGATATGCTAATAGTACCTACTGCATAGGGTTGTGAGAAATCAACTGAGTGAATATATGTATGTCTGGCTCCTACTAAGCTGTATATAAATGTTAGCTTTATCATTTAGTGTACTTATGTCCTAAGTGTACACAAAATTCAAATTCTCTGGTAATAAAAGAAATGCATAAGCAAACAAGAAAATACTTGCTTTTGGCTTGCCAGGTAGGCATATATTGAGAAGATTGTGAGTCCTCAGTGTTGGCAAGTTTGCTTGTGGAAGGTAGACTGGTTCAGCCTTTTGGAGGGTGATGTATACATCAAACTCCACGCTCTCTTTGGCTCAGCACTACCATCTCTAGGAATTTATTCTAAAGAAATAATCAGAGAAATATTGAAAAATTGGAAACATTAAGTTTTATGGGAAGGAAGCTGCTTAAATGCATTGTGGTTCATCCTTACAATGACATATTATAGAATCTTTAAAAATGATGCTCTATATACTTCAATTAAAAAATAATAAAATGATGATCTAGGTCCATATAAAGTGGACACTAAATGCTGTGCTATAACTGACATGAAATGGGAAAGAAGCAAGTACAAAATGGTACAGTGTAGTATGGTAGCATGATCCAATGTTTATTTTTTTTAAACTATATGTATTTATATCTATGCAGAGTGTATTAATGAATAGATAGGCAGAGGTTATTTCCTGATGGTGCAATTATGGGTGGTTTTTTTTATAACTTTCTAAATTTTATACAATAATAATTTTACAATGAGAAAAAACATAAACCTATTTTCATTTTGAAAAACAAAAAACAAACAAAAAAAGAATTCACACAATTCAGCTATGTGGGCTTCCTGTCGAGAGCAGTTGTCCTCAGTCTTGGCTGTACGTTAGACTCACACAGGGAGCTCTAGAAAATTCCGATGCTTGAGTCCCACCCCTGGGGATTCTGTTATGGTCAGAGTTGAGGCATCAGGACTTTTCAGAGGGACTCTATGTACACCCAAGATCCACCCGGGACTGGGGTTGTTGTTTGGAGATGATTGGTGGACACACAGGACCCAGATTGGGTGTTTTCCTCAAACTGGGTGCCTCCTTAGGACTTTAAACCAAAGTATACCCTAGGGATGAGATATTATTCAGGGTAAAACCCACTTGACTTATTTGTATATGGACAAGACCTGGGCAGGTACACCCTCCACATAATCCTACTACATTGCAAAGATGGGTTAGGACCTTTCTTCATTCTTAGTGTCTTTCCTCAGTATGACTGTTCTCAATGTCCTCAAAGTCCTTTGAGAATCTGATGGTAACTGCTGTCACTTACTGAGCACCTTCAAAGGGCCAGGTACTTTGCAAAGTGCTTTACTTGTATCAAGCCATTTAGTCCTCCAAACAACCTTATGAAGGAGGTGCTATTAGTTTCCCCATTTTTCATATTAGGAAAATGAGGCTCAGAATATTTATGTGACTGACCCATATCATAGCTGGTCAGTGGCAGGGCAGGGATTTTAACCCAGGAGGTCTTGCTCTAGAGCTGGCACTTTTAACCACTGGCTTGGAATAATTTATCCAGAAAAATGCCTTTGCTCAGATGCACCCATTAGCATGTAGTTCCATGGGTCCATAGATGCCTACAGCTGTGCATGGACCCAGGAAAGAGCCATTCTCCAGGGAGAAAGCCACATGTGGTGCGATATTGCCCTTGCTGTAGCCACTGCCCTCCTCATACCCCAAGTATAGATAATGTGGCAGCCCCTGCCCCCCCAAGGGTCCCCTGCCAACAAAGAGTGGTCATCTCTCTCCATGTCATTGCCAAGGTGCGTGCTTAGAGCTTCAGTTGCTCTTATGGGCACTGTTCAGGAAAGGTCTGTGCTATGCCCTGCCTCTGTTGGGTCTGGCCCTCCAGGACAGTGAACCACAGGCTCACCCACACTGCCTAAGGATGTTGTCTTCTGTTCTCCAATATAGATACTGGAAAACACTCCTGAAAACCACCCAGACCACAGCCATTTGAAGCACGCCCTGGAGAAGGCAGAGGAGCTGTGCTCCCAGGTGAACGAAGGGGTGCGGGAGAAGGAGAACTCGGACCGGCTGGAGTGGATCCAGGCCCATGTGCAGTGTGAAGGCCTGTCTGAGGTAGCGCCTTAGGGTGTGACCTGGGTCTCCCCCACTGAGCCTTGGAAGCTGGCCTGAAGGAGGACGAGAAAAAAAACATGAATGTCCTCCCTATTGGCCTCCAGTTTGCTAATTCTCTCTCCAGCTGCTTCTAATCTGCTGTTTAATCCATCTACTGAGTTTTTAAAATTTCAATTATTTTCTTTTACCCTTTCCAGCATTCTAGTTATTTTCTCTAATCTGCTGGTTTCTTTCTTGTCTTGGTCCTTTCACAAATGACCATGCTTCTCATTTGTTTCCTAACACATTTAAAATCTATTCTTGTATATTTCAGATCTGATCATTCCATTAACTCAGGTTATGAGTTTCACTGTTTTGTCTGTTGCTTCTGCTAGCTCTCACCACACATGTCTGTTTCTCTGTATGTACTTTGATTTTTGATTGTGAGCTCAACATTCCTTGGAACTTTATCTGTGGGATCTTTGAGGTCTGAAGTTGTATTCCTCCTGCAAGGGTTGCTAGCTACCAGGATCACCCTAAATTAGATATAGAGGGGTTTTCAGATCACACTAGTGTGTGAATTGTGGTTGTAAACTTAAATGAGAACTGCATTGTGGTTACACATTCTCAGGGACATTTTTTTTTTCCTCCACTTACACCAAGTTCAAAAACAAGCAAGCTTTCTTGGTCATCCCTTCTGTGCTGAGTTTACTTGTCATTCTTCCTTTGGAGTCCAGCGTTTTGGGATCTCCTGTTATCTCATGTGGGCCCTGGATATATCTCCTGTCTCTTGCACCCTCCATAGCCTTTAAAATGGAAGCTTAAGGTCACCAGATTTAAGAAAGACTCTCAGGGCTAAAGCCAGCTTAGGGACTTGTTTATCTTCCAGGGTTCACATTTTCATGCTGTTTTTGGCCTCTGCAAATTTCTTATTTTCATTTTTAATTTTTACCACCTCACTTGCATTTAAAAACTACAGTTCTATATTTTATTCGGTTTTGAAATTTTTCACTGGGTGAGTCAGAGTCTCTAGTCCACCATACTACCAGAAACAGAGTCTCTCCTGTAGTATTTGATTCTCTTCTTGTCCCTTATCTTTACTTTAGTCTCATTCATTCTTTCTGCCTGTTCTCACTCTCTTTCTCTTTGCCTCTGTACACACACACAGATACACACATACATACACACATTCATGCACACACACCATTGACTAGGGTTTACCAAAATGCCCAGGCAGACTGTCTCCCTCACCCACTCTTCCTGTGGCTCCTTCCTTCTTACAAGCTTCAAAGGCATTCACTACCTGAGGAAGTTACACCACTGCTTCCTCTCTGCCCTGCCTCCTGTCCCCCTTCTGTGAAGGTGTGGGATAACCAAAGTTATGGAAGCAGCCATGTGGAAACCAAGGTGATGGATGTGGGTTCCCATTTTGGAACTGTGTTGATAAGCAATCCAGGGGCATTCACTGGTTGGCTGGCTTACTTATTCATTCATTCATTCAATAAACATTTACTGCCCATGTGCCTTGCTCAGTACTAAACACTGAGAACATGGAAATCAATAAGATGTGACCTACGCCATCTCAAGAAGCCTACAGTCCTGGACCAAGTAGAGGGATCAAACCAATATTTACCACACAGTGTGAGACATCATGAGGCAGATCTAGGTGCCAAGTGCTGTTGGACACTCATGGAGGAAGGAACCGTCATGGAGGGATTCAGGGACATGTTGGAGAAGGTGACACTTGGCTGGGTGTTGAAGGATGAAGATACCTCTCCAGGAGAGAATCCAGGGGGAGGGCATTTCAGTGGAGGGCACAGCCTGTGCAGGACTTCGGTGAGCAATGTAGGGTGACAGGTGATAAGCTTTAAGGCAAGTTGAAACCAGGGCAAGGAAGGGCTGTGTATCATTCCAAGGAGCATTAACTTGATCCTGAAGACACTGGACATGAACAGCTCCTGAATCTGCCAGGCTGAAGTGCAACTGTGCACTTTTTCTTTTTTTTTTTCAATGTTCCCTATCTTTTTTCTTCCTTCCTCCCTTCTTTCCTTCCTTCCTTCCTTCCTTCCTTCCTTCCTTCCTCCCTCCCTCCCTCCCTCCCTTCCTTCCTTCCTTCCTTCCTTCCTTTCTTTTTGCCACACTGCGTGGCTTGCAAGATCTTAGTTCCCTGACCAGGGATCGAACCCAGCCCCAGCAGTGAAAGTACAGAGTCCTAACCAATGGACTGCTGGGGAATTCCCCTCACTGTGCACTTTTAAAGGGGTCCTTCCCTGAGTCTCAGGGCTGCAGTCACGGGACTCAGTGAGGCCTGTGTCTTCATCTTAGAACATTAAGAATAGGGAATTCCCTGGTGGTCCAGTGGTTAGGACTCCACACTTCCACTGCAGGGGCATGGGCTCAGAGGACTAAGATCCTGCATGCCACATGGCACAGCAATAAAAAACCCCTCAAAACATTAAGAATAAAATAAACTCTTGTCATTTGCTTTTTTGGGATGTATATACCCTCTTTGAAATAGACTGTTGTCCTTCTTTAGTGATCGATCCTTCCTGGCTGTTGTACACTAGCTTTCTGTATGGTCTGTTTTGTCTGTACAGTCAGGGTTCACAATCGTGGGGAGGGGGCGTGTTGGCTTCTGTTTCCTGGCCCAGATCTGGACACACACCGGTGATTAAGTTTCAAATAAATGCCGTCTTTGGCATTCTTGTCTTAAGATCAAGAACTATCAGGTCTGTTCCCAATTCACATATGTTCAGTGTTAGCCTGGCCAGTTGGAGGCTCTAACCTTTGAGTGTGAATAAACCACATCAACTCTATGTCATCGAAGTGAATTGCCAGATTCATTGCCCCCAAGTGGCTTGAACTCTCTCTTGGTGAGTAAAAAGGGCTAGATTGACATCCTTTGAAGGCTCTCTTTGTGGTGTCACCTTCAGTCTTTGGGGCTCCCTCAGAACCTCAGTGGGAGGTTAGAGGCCCTCGTCCCTCCTTGTACCTGAGAACAGAGTGGACTGGTCACTCTTCCTTGCTGCCTATAGGTCTCTGGTCATAGAGGCCCCACTGATTCTTTCTCCCACACTGGAGGCAGACAGGTAGCCAGCAGCATCTCTTGGGGAATGTGTGTTGTGAACTGTCACCTCTTCATTAATACTCTTCTCAGGGAGGTCTGTAGGGTTCATAGCTCTGGAGAGAGCCTCAGCCTTGAAGACTGCTGGATAGAGGATACCCCTGGGACCCAAGTGTGGGCAGGTGGAGACCCGAAGTTCTGACTCCTGCCTGGATCGTATCACTTCCTGGGCACAGCTGTGGCCTTCCCCTCCCTCAATCTCTCCCCTGCTATCCGAAAGGGTGGCCTTAGTGGGGTCATATCTTCTACAGTCTCCCCCTGCCCCTTTAGAACCTGCTCACAGTAGATGATAGAGCCCGGAGGTGGGGGGATGATAGAGCATGAGATGATGGAGCCCAGGGGGATGACAGAGCTGCGTTTCCACACTTAGATCTGTCTCCAAGTTTTGGGGAGTGGAAGGAAGAGAGCTGCCTGTCCCCTTCACATTTTCAGGACCAGTGAATTGGGTGAGATTTAATGGGCACCAACAGTGTCTGTTCTGCTTGGCTTCGAGGCATCTGTCAGCACCACTGAGTTTTGTAGTCCACCCATGTGGTAGGGGCCTGGACTCAAGCTGCGCCTGGGAAAGTAGCATTTGTCCTGTAGAACTGTACAGAGAGAGTCGCTGCTGCTTTCCAGAACCACGTAGGACTGTCTGAGCCTGTGCAGGGCCATCACTGGAGCTGGTTCACGCCACCTCCGGCGGACTAGCCTGCACACAGCACATACCCATCAAGGAGGGAGAGGGCTGAGTGTTTTCTTCCTGCTGCCCAGTTTCCCAAATAAACACAAGGGAGAAAAGCACCAGTCGCCCTGAGACACTGAGCAGACCTCAAGGGAAAGCATTTGGAATTATAGCCAACGTTCATCTTGACACGTGGAACCTCCAGAACCACGACTTTGACTTCTTGGCTCCAAAAGTCCCTGCCTGAAGTTTTCAAAGCAGTCCTTGATTCGAGCCTAAGTTACAGGCCTCAGACTCTGATGGAACCCATGCTTTCAGATGCAGAAAAACAAAACAGAACAAAACAAACAAAAAAAATGACCTCACTTCATCGTGTCTTCTTTGGGTTTTGTTTTCCTTTCTCAGCAACTTGTGTTCAATTCAGTGACCAATTGCTTGGGGCCACGCAAGTTTCTTCACAGTGGGAAACTCTACAAGGCCAAGAGCAACAAGGAGCTGTATGGCTTCCTCTTCAACGACTTCCTCCTGCTGACCCAGATCATAAAGCCCCTGGGCTCTTCGGGCACCGACAAAGTCTTCAGCCCCAAATCAAACCTGCAGTATAAAATGTACAAAACCGTAAGTTTGATTCTAGAGTGCACTATCAGGGTTGATGTTTGGGGGGAGGAGGAAGTTTCCAAAAGGAGCATTTCAGCAGGGTTTGGGGGCTGTGGCATACAGGAAGTGCAGGGGCTGAGACAGGATTTAGGGTGACCACAGCATCACGGGTCCAGCAGTATCAGAAAAGGAACGACGCTCAAATCAATTGACAAAACATCTATTAGCTGTCAAGTGGCTACTGTGGGTCCCCCAAATGTGTTGAAGGTATGCCTTGCCCTGGTGGGGTTCCCGGTCTAGTGTGGCAGGTGTGGGAAAGTTCGAGACTAGAACTCAAGCACCCACTTCCCGAACATTCCCAGATCTCCCTCCCAACTTCTCCAGATTGTTTGGAACATCTGTGCCCCTCACCTTTTTCCAGCAAAAGCCAGTCTAAATAGTCAACGTGTAGAGAATTTTCCTAAGCTGTTTATTTGGTCTGCTTCTACGTGCATGGCTGTGTTTGTGTGTCTTTGTGTCATGGGATATTGTTTTTCTGAACTTGTCTCTGTGTGGGTATTTTCACAGAAGAATTTTCTCTGAAGCAGCCGTTAGCTTTGTTTTGGGAAAAAGCACAATGTACTTATGTAGATTGCCACTAGCAGCTTTGTATGAACAACTTGGAGAGAATTGCTTGGAGGTAGAGTTGATGGAAACTGCTGATTAGGATATACTATGAGAAAAACAGACCCATCCATTCTTATTCTGGAGGACTTTAAAAATACCTGCAAAACGGAGGGGGGAAATCCATATTTATAATTTGCAGTATCTGAAAGTTAATATGAACACAAAATCATTATTCTGGTATAGTTTACTGAAACATCCTCCCACCCCCGCCGCAGACACACACACACACACACACACACACACACACACACACCCTTCACCCTCAGTCTAGTTTATTAGAACACGTGCACGTAAGCACACACACGTACTCATAGTTTATTGCAATACACGGCCCCCAGTCTGGTTTTGTAATGGCTGTGCATTATTTTTCAGCCTATTTTCCTAAATGAGGTTCTAGTAAAATTGCCCACTGACCCTTCCGGGGATGAACCCATCTTCCACATTTCCCACATTGACCGAGTCTACACCCTCCGAGCAGAAAGCATAAACGAAAGGTAAGACCTGCCTCCTCACTGGCACTGGGCGCCCAGGTCCCACCAGGTGTAGGACAGATGTGGGACATTTAATTAATCAGCAGGTCCCAACGTTCCTTCAGTTGCAATGCCACCCCCTCTGGCTGGAGGTGGGGTGGGGGCATGAGGGTGGAGCGGTCTTAATACGTTTTTCTAGAGCCTCTCGGAAGTTTGACCCATGGCATGAATTTTGCAAAGTAAAAGACATTGAAATGAATTTTGCTTGAGAATGTTTTAAAAAGCAATTTTCAGAGTTTGAGATAAATGGAGCATCTCATTTCCCAAGGTTTCCCAGGTGGCAGAAACCAGTAGGAAAGTGATTTGGGGATGGATAGGACCACCTAATCCTGACCCCCTCCTCAGCTGGCTCCCCTGGACAGACGTTCTGGATCCTAGAACTGTGGGCATTTTTGCTTTAATCTCTTCTTCAAGGTTCTGCCCCGGAGCCAAATGAAACAGATTATTTTCTGAAGGGTGAACTTGACATACGACCTACAGCATTCCAAGAGCATTTGTGCCAAAAAGCAGGAAATTGGCTAAAGTCGTCATGCATATGCTTCTCAGGAAAAGGAAGGCGAAAACATCACGCCAAGATGTTGGGGAAAGCCAAGATGCTTTCCCCAGCGTGTGTGTGCTCTTTCACAGAAAGTGGTTCCTTATCTGGGAAATGGTTTCTTTCCTTGGATGGTTTAGTAAGAGAAATCCTTCTGGCCTTATTGGATTAGGCAAATATGTGATGCTTTTCAAGAAGGAAGGAAGAGGTGTTGTTGCCAACATCTCCTCCAGGGCAGCATTTATCATCATAGATTTTCTTCCATGGGGCCGCAAACTCAGGTCTTGAGTACATCAGTAAAAATGTCACTCGTGCCTTCGTTGTGCATGGTAGAAATCATGATTAGCACCATGTGACATAAAACCAGACTTTCTTTGCTGAGCCTTTGTTGTAAAAATCAAACGAGCAAGGCAGAGTCCTAGAAACTGAATTTGTACAGACCTGAAGCCTGAGTTCTGTTTGGCACCGTTCTGTCTCTCCCTTTCCAAGGACCGCCTGGGTGCAGAAAATCAAAGCTGCTTCTGAACTCTACATAGAGACGGAGAAGAAGAAGCGGGAGAAGGCGTACCTGGGTAAATACAGAGCCATTTGGTTGTGCCTAGAACCCTTAGAGCTGGAAGATGGGCCCGGGGGTAGGGGAGAGCCTGAGGGGGCAGGCAGGCGGAAGAGGGAGAGCGGGATGCAGGGTGAGGGGTAGAGGGCAGATTCCAGGATCAAGGAAGCGAGAATTCAAGGTGGAGTAGGGGTGGGGAATTGTTCTTGCAGGGGAGCATAAGACAGATCATGAGGCAAACCAGAAAGGCAGCAAATCCTAAACGGGAGCATTCTGTGTTGTTTCTCTTGCCGTCATAGTCCGTTCCCAAAGGGCCACAGGCATTGGAAGGTTGATGGTGAACGTGGTTGAGGGCATTGAACTGAAACCCTGTCGGTCACACGGTAAGGACCCAAGAGGCCCCCTCTATCACATATTAGTGGTGGAAGCCTTTTCTGCATCCCCTCCACCTGGCTTTAAAACAAATGTGCTGTTTCCATAATCCTCAATTTCCTTCCAGACCTGGTTTTTGTAGCACTTGTTAAAAAAAAATTTTTTTTAATTCTTTTCCCGTTTTGCTTTCGAGAAAGATCTGAGTGGCTGCCCTTTCACAATACAGTCAACCCCTCTGTATCTGCAGGTTCTGCGCCTGCGGATTCAACCAACTGCTGATCGAAAATATTCGAAGAAAATTTGAAAAATTTCCAAAAAGCAAAACTTGAACTTGCCACACACTGGCAACGCTTTACACAGCAGTTACATTGTATTAGGTTATTACATGTAATCTAGAGGTGATTTAAAGTATATGGGAGGACGTGGGTAGCAAAGACTATACCATTTTATCTAAGGGACTTGAGTATCCGAGCATTTGGGTATTTGTGGAGGGTTCTGGAACCAGTCCCCGTGGATACTGAGGGATGACTGTGGTTTTGACACAATCTAGGACTAAAGTGAGGAGACAGGAAAGGCTTAGTTTTGAAGCCCACTAATGTAATTATTTAAGTATTATGAATATTTAAGTAGTATACTTTAAGTGTGATGCTGGATTGTGTGAGTTTCCGCCTGGATTCTCCATTTTATGCAGCTTATTCAGTGTGGCATTGGAGTGAGATCAAAATGAGGGGTGTAGCGGGAACAGCTGCCACATGACTGTGACCCCGCCACGCTCACCCAGAAGAGCTGTGCGGCAGGCGGGAGTCAAGCAGACTCTGTTCCCTCTAGGAAAGAGTAACCCATACTGCGAGGTGACCATGGGCTCCCAGTGTCACATCACCAAGACAATCCAGGACACTCTGAATCCCAAGTGGAATTCCAACTGCCAGTTCTTCATCAAAGACCTGGAGCAGGAGGTCCTCTGCATCACCGTGTTCGAGAGGGACCAGTTCTCTCCAGACGGTGAGTAAAAAGCAGCCCCGAGGTACCCTTCCCCTTTCGCTGTCACTTGGCTTTCATGGATAAATATTTTCTACCTGGGAACTTGGTGCCCAGAATTTCTTGGGCTTCCTGCCAGAGAGATGAGGCTGGCATTAGACAAGACTCAGCATCCCTTGGAAAGAGGCCTTCACTGATGCCAGGTTGTATCAGAGAAGGTGGACAAAGCATGCTTGGTCTAGAGTGGTCCAGCTGCCCTAGACAAAGACCATGGTCCCGTGTTTCCCCAAAGCAAGTAAATGCAGAGAGAGCTATACCACAAAGCCTCCACCCAATTCTTTAGTCCTTGGCTAAAAGCTATGGTGAAAATTCATAAAATTAGCCAGTAGAGCAAGAAGAACATTAGCCCACAAAAAACGTGGCAGAATCAATCAGTGCCCTTTGGGTGACATTTCTGGTTAATTAAAGGGATGGGATCATGTTGGATGCATCATCCCTTCAACCAACTTTCTGTTTCTGCTTGAGCCTGGAAAAAAAAATGGGACTGGCAATGATTCTGAGAAACTTCTCTCTCCCTTCCTCAACGCAACAAAAATAAGAGAGTAAGTTTAAAGATTGCGGTCTCAACCTAATTATATTCAAAGGAGTAAAATTAAGTGCTAGGAGTGAGGGTCCAGTGCAGGCATGATCTGTGCAAGGCTTAAATTGCTCCACGTGGCTTTTGTCTTTTCGTACTTTTATATGAATTATCTCATTGTGAGTTAGTTACTATTAATTGTTGCCCAGAGATGGTCACATAGCTGGCTAGATGTTAGAACATGACCAGACCGATCTGACTCATAAGTCTGGGCTCTGAAGCACTGTGTTTCAATGGCAATTTTGTTTTAAATTTATTTTATTTATTTATTTTTGGCTGCATTGGGTCTTCCATGCTGCGCACATGCTTTCTCTAGTTGCAGCGAGCGTGCTCGCTAGTTGTGGCTTACGGGCTCTAGAGCGCAGGCTCAATACTTGTTGTACACAGGCTTAGTTGCTCCGCGGCAGGTGGGACCTTCCCGGAGCAGGGATTGAACCCGTGTCCCCTGCATTGGCAGGTGGATTCTCAACCACTGAGCTACCAGGGAAGTCCCTCATTGGCAGTGTTTATTCTGATAAATAAAGGCTTGAGGTTGGATTTATTTTAGTAGTGAAATACCACAACACAATGGCAGCTCCACTAGAGTTTAAATTGCAAATCCTAGTATTGTTCTTACTTCAAAGATCATTTCCATGAAATGCACAAGGGGAAAAATAAACCGGTATCTTCCACCAGAAAAAATTCCCAGGTTTTAACCGTTGAAAGAAAAGCTGTTTCCTGTACAAGTGTTCCTGGATCATAGTATATTCCAAAAACTAATCGTTGAATGAAAAAATGAAGGAGTTAATGGTCTGGAGGCCCGTTTAACACCCGTGTGCATTTGCACAGCGTCAAAAATTGTTTCAAACACGCTCACGTCCATTCTCATACTGACTCAATATTTGATAAAAAGTGGTGTTGAGATAGTCCTGGGAGCATGGCTGGAAGCACGCAGCTCCCGTGCTGTCACCTCCTCCCCACCCCCTCAAGTTTGCTCTCTGGCACTTACAGTGGTGCATTATAAGGACCAGCCCTTGTTCACCATCCTTGACTTTTCCAAAAGGAGTGTAACATCGCGAAGCACGTTCCTGGGTCAACCCCTGGGAGAAACTACTGTCCAATTTTTGTCTCAGAAATAGCTGACTTTCTTCTGGGCAATTTCTTTAAATTTCATGTAAGTTGCAAATTGTGCAGCTGATAGGACATCTGGTTCTGCATTGCCTCCCAGGAAGCTCATAGCCCTTTGGGGGTCCTCAAGTGTGAGGAAAGTCTGTGTTTTGAGCTCCTTCTGGGCTCTCCTTCATCCCCATCCTGGTACCTTTTTGTTTTCAATTCATTTAAAAATTATGCTGGGCTTCCCTGGTGGTGCAGTGGTTAAGAATCCGCCTGCCAATGCAGGGGACAAGGGTTCAAGCCCTGGTCCGGGAAGATCCCACATGCCGTGGAGCATCTAAGCCCGTGTGCCACAACTACTGAGCCTGTGCTCTAGAGCCCCCGAGCCACAACTACCGAGCTTGCATGCCACAACTACTGAAGCCCGTGTGCCTAGAGCCCGTGCTCTGCTACAAAAGAAGCCACTGCAATGAGAAGACCCTGCACTGCAACGAGGAGTAGCCCCCGCTCGCCGCAACTGGAAAGGGCCCGCGCGCAGCAACAAAGACCCAATGGGGTCAAAAATAAATAAATAAAATAAATAAATTTATTTAAAAAAATTAAGAAAATAAAAATTATGCTGTCATTGTAGTCCCTGGATTCTCGGAAACTGACCTAACTCCCTTTTGGAAGAAGGAAGAGTATAACAATTTGCTGGGACATTCCCCATATGCCAAGTACCTGCCTTGAAGAGAAGGCATCCTCTCTGAGGAGGGTCTGTGTGTTTCTCCTTTCAGATTTTTTGGGTCGGACGGAGATCCGCGTGGCTGACATCAAGAAGGACCAGGGTTCCAAGGGTCCAGTTACAAAGTGTCTCCTGCTGCATGAAGTTCCCACGGGAGAGATCGTGGTCCGCTTGGACCTGCAGTTGTTTGATGAGCCCTAGGGAGCCGGCCCAGGGTGTGCTTGGCAGCGTTCCAGCCTGAGGCAGCGGATGCTGTCTGGAAATGGTGTTGCTTTTCGAGGACCACTGTTTGGCGTTCAGCCACAGGGCCACAGGACAGCAAAGACAGGACCCTCAAAGCTTCTGGGAATACTTCTTGACAATCCTGCCCCCTAAACAATTTCCCATTTTGTGAAGCGAAACTGTGTTTTCCTTTGTTTTCACTGCAGGACTCATCATGGCTTCCAGGGTCTTTGAAATCCCATCGCCCCTAGCTACGTTCGGTTGGGAGTCTGACCCATCCCTGGGCCTGAGGCTTGGGTCTGGTTACTGTAAAATAGATTTATAAATGCCATGTCTGTATTTTTGGAGAACTCATGTAATCCTCCTGTTTCTTACCTCCACCAGCCTCCAGGTAGGCCCCCTGACCTATGATGCCTGAGTCCTTGGTGTGTTTAGAAATAATCATGATGATCTTGTTATTGCTTCAGAATCTCATTCTCCCACTGGGACCTTATTTGAAATGCTCCCCTGCATCTGATCACTCGGGAGACGGTCGCCTGATCAGACACTGGTCTAGCTCTTTGAAGAGCTGGTCCATGGAAGATTCCAGCAGTTGTGCTGTTAGAGCATTTCCAGTCTCCTCCAGGTCTTTTATTGCTAGACGTCAATGAAAACTATCACTGGCTACTATCAGGTGATCTGATTCTGATTTCCAGCACGCTTGGAAGGTGGTTAAGGAAGGTTGTTACCTACCAAGTTATACTCTGCTGGATTAGATCACTGCAGGTCACCTGAAAGGCTAATTTCCGACATTATGGGGTCCTGGTTGCCAGCCTGGTTGGAAAATGCTCTCTTGGCTTGGAGGTCCTGTGATGTTTCACAAGAGTAGTTGTTGGTGACCAGATCTGAGCCTACTCCTGCCTGATTATCATGGGAAATTTCTGCAGATGTCTTTGGTACGTTCCCCGCAAAGGCATCCCCAAGGTGTGAGAAGGAGAAGTGACAATCTGTGGAGGAAATCTATTACGTGGTGGGGGAGAGACCCGAGAAGCATGGAAGCCCCTCAGTTCCAGGGAAGAAGACCTGAGACTCCTTCCCAAACCCTGCTGTAACACAAGCAACCTCTCAGTAACGGAAAAATACATGGCGCGTTGACAGTCAGGAGTGTGTGAACACGTGCCAAGTCTGGCTTGTGCTCTTTGAGTTTCTCTCCTTAAATGCCAGGAGATAGGCTGCTTAACCACGTAAGAACTTGATTCGCTAATGAAAAGCGTGGGCCGTATTTTGTTTGCATGATAATGTTCTCATAATCCCGGTTCGTGGTTTTCATCTAATGTTCTTTGCGCGTTCTCTCGGTCCTTGAATCTAGCTTTCCTGTGTGAGGTGGCGTTCTCTTTGATTGCAGGTCCTTAGAATTTAATTAGGGTTGTAGAAACACTTTTTGAAGATAGCATCAACCTAGTGGCAGAGTGAACTACCCACTTTGCTGGGAACTGAATATGTCGTGTCATCCTTTCCCATAAGAGCCCTGTCATTGTTCAAGCGATTTTTAAAATGTGTGTGTCAGAAAAGGCAACAAAGTTTACATTTCATACTTTTAAGAAACACTCTATTATTTATTTATTAAAGATAGTGTAGACTTTTGTATCAAGAACAACAGACATAAGTATTTTTTGAAGCAAGCAGATATACCCTTTAGTTAGAAACTCTCAACTGAAGACCTTAGAGACCAGGTTCACCTTCAAGCATGCATTCGTTTACCACTTTCCAGCAGCAGACATGGTTCAAGTACTTTAAGTTTATATTTTTTGATGTTGTTAGGAAACTGTTTTAAATTAAATCTATGAATAGACCTACCAATCATGCTTTCCTATTCTATAACAAATACAGTTTGTTCAGTGTACTTCTGAAGAAGGACATATTACTATGGTAGAAAAAGAAGGGTTACCTGTGTAAATGGGGTCATATTGGGTCACCATTCCAATCCCTTTCTTTCTGTTCTCCCTTTTCTTCATCGGCTTTCTTTGCGTGTGAATGCCGGGCATCTCGGTTCATGTAGGGAGGATACGATGTGCTCAATGACAAACATCTTGTCACCCTTTTAGGTCCACCAGGTCCCCCACCCGCAGAGTCCCATTATCGGAATTAATGTAGCATGAAGAAGCAATATGTGAATTTTTTTCCCAAGTGACTATACTGAGCATCCTTTAGATGCTCCTCCAGGGTAGCAGTTCTGTCCTTTGTACTCACTGGGGTAATTTGTGAGGTGACTGATCCTCCTTATGGATGAGTTAGGCTAGCCCTCAGATCCAGGTGTGACTCGTGAGTCATGTGTGAGATACAGGAATGTGGGTGATGCGTGGA